TGATTATAGTGATTATATTATTATGGGAAATTGGGATTTATCAATAATATTTTGTAATTTCCTATAAATCTATAAATAGGAAAAATATGTTTTGTACAGTCGTTGCCAGATATATTGAGCAGGCGGTGGCGGTACTTTTCGGTGTATCCCAAACTAGTCGCGGTGTGTTTTGACCGCACGGCGCACCACAATTGCGTACCCCTGGGCCCTGGGTCTTTCGTTATCGCGTCGCCGCCGCCGATGCCTGCTCAATTTATCCGGCAACGACTGTAACCATTATTTTTCTGTGCATGTATAAATTGTTCTTGGAAATGTCACTACTTATATAATACACCTAAATAAGACGTCTTGTATGGCGTGTCTTGGCGATGCGGGTTGCGATAACTGTTAAACATACTCATAAGTTAATAATATTTTATAACTTTCTATTTTTAAATAACAAATAAATATTTTAAAAGAAAAAAAGTTCCAAATAGTTCGGCCACGGGCCCGGGGCCCATTGTTATGATTTACAGGGGGCCCGGGGGTTCTTTGCACCCCTAGCACCCCCGGTTGTTGCGGCACTGAGTGTGTTCATATATTTTTTAGATATTTTGGTTACAGTATGAACTGTTTATGAGAACCTTTGTTTTAAATTTGCAATCCTTAGCTATAAAAACTGAACATTTTATAATTTATTAATTACAATGATTGATAATTTTCGAGATTTTGATAAATGTTGTCAAAATTCGATCTTTAAATGCTTATAAAAAAAAACTGTGCTTATGTATTTTTAATATTTTTCAACTGATATTGTAACAATATATCAGGAGCCTTATATTACATTTTTACACTTTTTGGCCCAACAGATAAAACTTGATTGATATTTATAAAAAAAAAACTAAAAAAATTGAAAGCGGTAAATGTCCATAAATAGCTCAAAAAGAGTCAAAATATTTTCAAAATTGTATGGTGTGTAAGGAATGCTAATATAAACATTCTGTGCAATTTTCATGTATCTACAGTTATTCGTTTTTGAATTACAACAAAATAAGGAAATCGCTACATGAGAAATCGAGTGAATATCCAATGTTGTAAAAATTTGAATTTCAAACGCTCATAAAAATTTAATTTGACCTTCTTATAGACATTTTTTTTTTTTATAAAGGTAGATAATCTTATAAGGAATCTTGTATTACATTTTAAAATCTTAGATTTAAAAAGAAAAATTTTTACAAATTCTTAACTTAAAATAATTTGCTAATTTTCGTGATTTTTCCATATTTTGTCAATTTTTGAACTTTAAATGATTATAAAAAAAAACTGTGACAAAGGATTTTTAATATTTTTCATCTGCCTTTGAAACAATATACTAGGAGCCTTCTATCAAATTTTCAAGCTTTTGCAACCAACAAATAAAATTTTATTGATATTTTTAGAAAAAAAACTAAAAAAAGATGGAAAATGAAAATGTCCCTAAACAGTTCAAAATAAATCAAAATATTTTGAAAATGTTATCGTGTATATAAAATGCAAATATAAACAACCAGTGAAAATTTCATGTATATACGTTCATTTCTTTTAAAGTTACACCAAAAACCAAAATCGATTTTTTGGAAAACCGTTTTGCGTAAAAATTCGTGTTTTTCCTTAATTTTTATGTTGTTTTTCCCGGCGCTTGTGAATACTACTGGGAAATTTATACTTTTGACCCCCCAAAGTACTAACTAGATTCACTTTCCTATCAGAAAAGCTACTGTTTAAGAAAATCCAAGAGCTTTTACTGTCCTAAAACGTGATGACAGACACAAAAAAAAATAAAAAAACACACATCATTGTAAAATCAATACATTCATCGTTTCACTCAGAATCTAAAATGGAAAATGAAAATGTCCTTAAACAGTTCAAAACAAATCATAATATTTTAAAAATTTTATCGTGTATAGAAAATGTAAATATAAACAACCAGTGAAAATTGCATGTATATACGTTAATTTGTTTTAAAGTTACACCAAAAGCCATAATCGAGGTTGTCAAAAACCGATTTTGCTTAAAAATTCCCGGTTTTCCTTAATTTTTATTTTGTTTTACCAGGCGCTTTTAAAAACTATTGGTAATTTTGACCTCCTTTTGGATTTGGCCTCCCAAAATTACCAACTAGATTCACTTTCCAATCGAACAAGATACTGAAGTTGAAAATCGAAGCATTATTTCGACTACTTATCGTGTACACAGATACAAAAAAAATGTCTATACTCTGTTCAAAATAAGATCGTGACCCGGCGGCCGAGTTGTGCGCATGGGCGTGGCTTCGTTCCGTGGCTGCGCCCGACGCGTCGCTGTAGTGGGGACGGCATCTTTCCATATGTCTGACCGCCGCCCGACGAAAACTGGTCGCCGCCGGGTCACGATCTTATTTTGAACAGAGTATACAAGAAAGTCAAATTGAATTTTTATGAGCTTTTAAAATTCAAATTTTTACAACATTTCATATTCACTCGATTTCCTTATTTTGGTGTAATTCAAAAACGAATAACTGTAAATACATGAAAATTCACTGAATATTTTTACTCTTTTAGAGCTGTTTACGGACATTTTCAGATTTCAATTTTTTTTAGTTTTTTTTTCTATAAATATCAATCAAGTTTTATCTGTTAGGCCAAAAAGTGTAAAAATTTAATACAAGGCTCCTGATATATTGTTACAATATCAGTTGAAAAATATTTAAAATTCATATGCACAATTATTTTTAATAAGTACCTATTTAAAGATCGAATTTTGACAAAATTTATCAAATTTAAAATTGAATAATTATTTTGTAGTGAAAAATGTATAAAATGTTCAACTTTTGTATCTAAGGACTGAAAATTTAAAACAAGATTCCACGTAAGTATTTAATACTGTTACCAAAAAATCTAAAAAATACATAAGCACAGTTTATTTTTATAGTCATTTTAAGTTTTAATTTAGATGAAATTACATAAAAAAAAACCTAGAATAACTATTTTAGTTCTTTTGTTGTGAGTGTATAATACTATTCGTGGGTACTTGAAACTTCTTAAGTACACTATGTCACTATCATATATTTATGATAGTATCAGGGTTTGTTGTTGATGTATAACGCGTTATAAGTACCTAATGGATATTGTGATATGATTAATTTGGACTTTTTTTATATTCTATATCAATATATAAATTTGAATTATGAATATGATCTATTTTTACTCTTTTTGTTAGTGAATTTCTAAGTAAATAAAAAGAAAAATCAGAAAAATAAAATCGTCAAAGTATAGATAATTTAGTTAAAAATTCAAATCTGCTTTCAAAATTAATTTTAGAACATTATATTGGGCGTAGTGATTGAAGTCGTGAGCTATATTTTCGAACGAAAATGAATCACCCTCCAGCCTCCTTAAAATCAAATTGATTGTAGTTTAAATTATACACATACCAATTATTTGGGATATATACTCTAACTAACAAATTTACAATAGTTATTTTAGTTTGTTTTATATCAATTAATTAAAATATTTAAAAATTTAAAATGTAAATTGTGTTTACAAAAAAATATATATACATAATATATATTATATAAAGGGCCGTTAGTATACTGAGAGCCTCTAAAATTATGATTTCCTCCCAGTCCGCCACTGCAAGATACTCATAAATCAGTTGCGCGATACAAGATACATTTGAATAAAATTAGTCACATGTTTTTTAAAAATGATAACTACGGGGATGAACACTTTGTTAAATAATGGGAACGGCAATTAAATAATAAAAAAAATTACACTGTTCAGTAGTAAATAGTAATGATATATAATATATTGATAGAATACCTTTATTACAAGGAACACATCAGTGAAAAATTGTAGTTTGCCACGCCACTGGAACACATTACACATGGCTACATTAATAAATTATATCTTATATAATATATGTCGTAGCCACTTCGTGAAATCGATCTTTTTATGAAAAGATGACAATTTTATGGAATGGAAACGGATATCCGATATTTACACTTCATGAAATTCGAAAATACTTCAACAAAATCGTCTCTTTTTCATTAAATGGTCACTCCAATTTAACATCGTGTATCTGGTCGTTCACTTTGTTTACTGGAATACAAAATTCATTGCACACGTCAAGTTTGGTTTGCCTATATCCATTATTATTTATTTAATGTATTTATTAAGTATACTTATTTATGACTTCTGTCTTCTACAATACCATAAGTCATTTTATCTAAATGTAATATATATTATTACCTATACAATATACATAGTATATTGTTATTAGAACAAGGGCAATAATAAATTAACGCAATTGTAACGAAACGTAACTGTTGAAATATTAAATTATAATTTAGTTTTCACCCTGTAGATTGTTTACAATAAGAGTGTTGTCCTACTGTAGATTAACCATATAGTTATACATGTATAAGGAAAGCGAAAATGCACAGTTGACATATTTTCAATATTATGAGTTAGAAATATTGACTATAGTATTATTGTAATACAGTTCTTATATTATATTTCAATATTTGTATATTATTACGACCATACTCTGTAGACCTATATATGTTTTTATGTATAAAGTCTTAGCACATTGAGATATTATAATACGTGTATAGTACGCTTTACAGTTTACGTGTTGAGTACTTGAGTGACGAGTGTCAAGGATTACAAAATATAATGTTCCTAGAAGTGATTGAAAAAACACATTACTCAACACATTTGTTGTTTTATCAACGACATTTCCGGTAAGGTGTTATCACACCCAGTCCTTATCTGTTATTCTGCTACTGCTATCATTTATCAAGTATCCATCATCCGTGCATCGACGATTTCGTATTTATTAATTTTGAAAAATGTAGACTGTAGTTGTTGTACCTAGTTATTATTTGTTAATATTTCAGTATTTTTATCCATAAACTGTTTTGTATATATTTTTTTTCACTCCTACACTTCAACGAGTGTTATGTAATTTCTTAAAATATATATTCTAGCCCGTCAACAGCTATGTGGAAATCCAGCAATTGGGCTAGTTTGTTCCCCACTAAGACATCGTTTGTCGTATTTGTCTTGTACATAGCACTGTCCATGAACCACGGTAAAAATGCATATTTTTCTATCTTTCTATGGCCTTCTGAGTTCTGATGTACCTCCACCATTACTCATAGAACGATTCGCAAATTTAAATTATCTGATTGTATATGATTTCTAATATTATGTTTTCAAAAATAAATTAAATACTTATATTGTTATGACAGGGGCAGAGAAGCAATTTTTTTTGTTACAATGAAAACATTTAAAAGGCCGCTTTATTATGGATATTGCACAAATGACCCTCTGCACAGAGTAAGCCACAAAAAATGATATAACAAATTTGTTCAACATATATATGTATTGTTAATTTTATAAAAATAAATCTATTTCGATAAAAGCCACTCTCCACAAACATTTTCATTACATGTTTGCGTACATTTATACAATATAAAAAATAATATTTATACCTACTAATTTACCATTTATTATAAAAAACTGTACAAATATAAAATGTCTGTACCTAATTATGTTTACATTTTTTAATAGAACTCATAAAAAAAATAAATGTATGCATTCTTGAGCCTTAGGACCATAAACTGCCCGTAGAGGAACTTACTATGTCCACATAGGTCCGTCTATCTGCCCCTGGATATAAATAATAGACATTTTAGATTCGAATGGTATGTTCTAAACATTTTTTTTCTTTTGCAGGATTGTTAGTAAAATTATCACAAGATAAAGGCACGTATCACTATAACGTTGTGTCAGTAATTATTTTGACCGAAGTTATAAAACTAATTATATCTCTTTTTTTGTTTTGTAAAGAGTAAGTGAAATTTTTAAAAATTTAATTTATATTTATTTACCTAGATAAAGTAATAATAGATTAATGTTATTAATAATTCTACAATTAGTACAACTAACATTTCTACAAAGTATAATTTTAATTCATTGTAGACTGTACTACTGTAGTTTATAGTAACAGGTATAAGGTATATATGATTTCTCTATTTATCCCTTGAAAAAATAAAGTAGTTAGTATTCATAAATATACTTCCCTCCCTATCCCTACTCCGTAGCATGGTATAATTAACTAGTTTATTTCATTATGCTCTGTCGGATATTTAATTGTATTCAATGTTAAAATCCCAAACAAATTAAATAAATATTTAAATTGAATTAAATTAGTAATAGATGATTGAATGTTATGACATTTCATGTTTTACTTAAAAAAAATTACATTTCAATTAGGGAGGGCCGATAATCAATATCATTGTTTATAGCCTGAAGATACCCTGATATACTTAAAAACAACATTTTTGGCAAAGTCCACAAACTGATATTATAATAAAACCAATAGGTATCAGATAAACGGATATTATTTCGCTAAAAATTAAAAATAAACATGCAAACATTCAAAATAAATATTAAATAAGTACTTACAAAATAAATAATAAGTAATGCATTTGTAATATTACGCTGATGGATTTATTTTATTTTAATGGTTTTGTTTCAAATATTGGTTTTGAAAAAAAACCAATACCACATTTCATTTTTATTTACAGCAATCCCTTAAGAAACATTATAGATCAGACTAGAGAAAACTACACAGGTCAGTACTTATAGATTTATATTTTACATTTACATTTGATAATATGCATACTTTAATACTTATGTATGTATATTTGGATATCTTATTATTAGTACTCTTTCTCTACATGGTGCCGGCACTTCTCTACTGCCTGTATAATAATTTGGCATTTGTGAACCTATCAATATTTGACCCGACTACATATTTTATTCTTCTTCAACTACGGGTCATACTCACTGGTATTGTTTATCAGTGTTTGTTTAAAAAGGATCTCAGCAAAATTCAATGGTTATCCTTAGTACTTTTGACCGTTGGATGTATGATAAAAGAGATGAAAATGGAGGGCAATATTCGACAACAGTCTTATGGTTTTTTTATTAGTATATTATTGATGTTGACTCAAATACTTTGCTCTTGTTTAGCTGGAGTCTACAACGAATATTTACTTAAAAAAGGCCAGGGTGTAAATGTAAATGTTTATGTGCAAAACATATATATGTACACTGATTCAATACTTTGTAATTTATTATTGTGGATAACATTTAAACATAATGAAACAAAAAGCAGTGTCTCTGAAATAGACATTTTTAAGAACTATATGGTATGAGATTTATTGTACTTATTTCTTACTATTAATTAATTAAAACAATTATTTTTTAGGTCATGTATATTATAATTAACAGTGCCATGTATGGTGTCGTAACTAGCTTACTACTACACAGCTTAAATTCAATCATAAAGGTTTTTGCCACAGCAATCGAACTAGTCCTTATTACCGTATTGTCATGGGTACTTCTAGGATACCCAATTACTTTACAGACCGTGTCAGCTGTGAGTATTGTTTCGTGTTCTGTGGTTATTTATGCCAAACACCCTATTACAAAAAGTACGCTACCAGCTACTAAAAGTAATAAAAATTTGATTAATATTTAAAACTTGATTAAATAATTATTTATTGGAATAAAATATTATATTTATCCACCTACTTAATTTTCTTTCTCTAAAATAATGTATACTTGTAACTTTTATGTTAATTAAATATTTTGTAACAATGTTTCTATTATTATTATCTTTCAATACCAAAGTACCTAGGTAATATATCACTATTGACTAATAATATTATCATAATTTATTTGAAAACCAAAACATATGTATATTGCCTAATAATAATTTGTATTAAAATTCCTATTTTTTATTTGTATAAGTAATGATTGTAATCCTCTAAAATAAACTAAGTCATTATACCCATTACCCATGTATTATGTATTCTACTGTAATCAAACTAACTTTTATAATATGATCCTGATTTCTGTTAGGCCCATCTGTTTTTTGGGCTTTTCTTGTAACTTTAAATACATACAAAATTTGATGTAATATTGTAGCTTTAGTCAATATACTAGTTATTTATTTTATAAAAAAAGTTAACTGACTTTACCAAATTTTTTAGTTACCAGTATAATATAGTCAGACAAATTAAATTTATTTTTATTGTATTAAATTGTTATAAACGATGATATGTATTATGGAAATATTTGTATAGTTATAAATACTACACTAAATTCTTATGTATTACCTATCAGATTAAAAACAATATATGTATTTTATTTATTGTCATATTCCTTCACTTTTTTTTTTTTCAAAATGACAAGCTCCCTGACCCTGTTTTCCTTATTCATTGCAATTCCATGTTGTGTTTTAATATAATTATTTATTTATTTTTATCTAAGTATTCCTTGCCACTTCACTTATCTTATCTATACATAAGTAACAACTATTTATTCAATAATTCAATATTCGGTATTTGTTACAGAAACGTACTTTGGATTGTGAAATACTGAAATTAAAATTATGTGGTTGATTTTAAAAAGATTAGTAGAAATCACAATAAAATATTGTAAGGATTAAATTTTTATGTTTCATTTCCAAAAAAGGTGGGTAAGTGTGTGTCGCTCTGCTGTACAGTAGGTTACAAGTGGGTCACTGTATAATGGATGATATTAAATTTGAATTCAACGATTTAATATCATTGTATAAGAAAAACGATTCTGAGCGGAGACGGTATGTCAGTCTATGTATAAGACATATTATATACATAATAAATTCCAAATCAATCATATCACAATATCTATTAGGTACTTATAACGCGTTATACATCAACAAAAACCGTAAACTATCATAGATATATAATAGTACACTTTAGAAGTTTCAAGTACCCACGAATAATATTATACAATCACAACAAAATAACTAAAATAGTTATTCTAGGTTTTTTAATATGTAATTTTGTCCAAATATGAATTTAAAATGTCTGTAAAAAATAACTGTGCTCATATATTTTTTAGATTTTTTGGCTACAGTATGAATTATTTATGAGAATCTTTTTTTTAAATTTTCAATCCTTAGCTATAAAAACTGAAAATTTTATAATTTATTAATTACGATGATTGATAATTTTCGAGATTTTGATAAATTTTGTCAAAATGCGATCTTTAAATGCTTATAAAAAATAATTGTGCCTATGTATTTTTAATATTTTTCAATTGCTATTGTAACAATATATCAGGAGCCTTTTATTAATTTTTTACACTTTTTGGCCCAACAGATACAACTTTATTGATATTTATAGAAAAAAAAAACTAAAAAAATTGAAAACTGAAAATGTCCGTCGTAAACGGCTCAAAAAGAGTCAAAATATTTTCAAAATTGTATGGTGTATAGGAAATGCAAATATAAACATTCAGTGAAATTTTCATGTATCTACAGTAATTCGTTTTTGAATTACAACAAAATAAGGAAATCGCCACATGAGAAATCGAGTGAATATCCAATGTTGTAAAAATTTGAATTTCAAACGCTCATAAAAATTTAAATTGACTTTCTTATAGAATTTTTTTTTTTGATAAATGTAGGAAATCTTATAAGGAATCTTGTATTACATTTTCATATCTTAGATTTAAAAAGAAAAATTTTTATGAATTTTTAACTCGAAATAATTTGCAAATTTTCGTGATTTTTCCATTTTTTGAACTTTAAATGCTTAAAAAAAAAAACTGTGACTAACGATTTTTAATATTTTTCATCTGTCTTTGAAATAATATAGTAGGAGCTTTGTATTAAATTTTCAAGTATTTTTACTCAACAAATAAATTTTTATTGATATTCATGAAAAAAAAAACTAATAAAATTGGAAACTGAAAATGTCCCTAAACAGTTATCAAAATAAATCAAAATATTTTAAAAATGTTATCGCGTATAGAAAATGCAAATATAAACAACCACTGAAAATTTCATGTATCTACGGTCATTTGTTTTAAAGTTTTAAAGTTTTAAAGAAAACATATTTTGCGTAAAAATTCCCGTTTTTCCTTAATTTTTCTTTTGTTTTTCCGGGCGCTTTTGAAAACTACTGCGAAATTTAAATTTTGACCTCCCCAATGCACCAACGATATTCACTTTCCAATCGAACAAGATGCTGAAGTCGAAAATCGAAGCATTATTTCGACTACTTATCGTGTACACAGACACAAAAAAAATAAAAAATAAATAAATAAAAAAACACACATCATTGTAAAATCAATACATTCATCGTTCCACTCAGAATCTAAAATGTAGTTTTAATTTTCATTTCCAAAAAAGGTGGGTAAGTGGATGTCGCTCTGCTGTACAGTAGGTTACAAGTGGGTCACTGTTAGGGTTGCCACTTTTGAAAGAAAGCAGCCCCGGAGACAGGCCGATAAGCAAAAAAAAAAAAAAGGTCGTTAAGTCATAAATGTGGTCATTAATGAATTACTATATATTATTCTTGTTATCTTGAATAAATGGTTTTTATACCAGAAACTAGTAAAAAAAAAAAAGGCATAATAATAAAAAATCGTATCTTATTTTATCTTTATCTCCGAATTCACTGAACCCGGAGCCCGTAGATTTATACGTAAACCCGGAGAGGTGGCAACCCTAGTCACTGTATAATGGATGCTATTAAATTTGAATTCAATGATACAATATCATTGTATAAGAAAAACGATTCTGAGCGAAGACGGTATGTCAGTCTAGGTTTAAGACATATTATATACATATCTATGGTATTAAAAAAAAAAATTGACCTATAATAAATTCCAAATTAATCATATCACAATATCCATTAGGTACTTATAACACGTTATACATCATTACATCAATAACAAACCTGATACTATCATAGATATATAATATATTAGTATACTTTAGATTTTAGAAGTTTCAAGTACCCACGAATAGTATTATAGGTACACTCACAACAAAATAACTAAAATAGGTATGCTAGCTAGGTTTTTTAATATGTAATTTCGTCCCAAATTTGAACTTAAAATGACCATAAAAATAAACTGTGCTTGTGTATTTTTTAGATTTTTTGGTAACAGAATTAACTACTTAGGTACGTGGAATCTTGTTGTAAATTTTCAATCCTTAGCTATAAAAACTGAATATTTTATAATTTATTAATTACGATGATTGATAATTTTCGAGATTTTGAAAAATTCTGTCAAAATTCTATCTTTAAATGCTTATAAAAAAAAACTGTGCTTATGTATTTTTTATATTTTTCAACTGATATTGTAACAATATATCAGGAGCCTTATATTACATTTTTACACTTTTTGGCCCAACAGATAAAACTTGATTGATATTTATAAAAAAAAAACTAAAAAAATTGAAAGCGGTAAATGTCCATAAACAGCTCAAAAAGAGTCAAAATATTTTCAAAATTGTATGGTATATAGGAAATGCTAATATAAACATTCAGTGAAATTTTCATGTATCTATAGTTATTCGTTTATGTATTACAACAAAATAAGGAAATCGCTACATGAGAAATCGAGTGAATATCCAATGTTGTAAAAATTTGAATTTCAAACGCTCATAAAAATGTAATTTGACTGTCCAGTAGAGATTTTTTTATTGATAAAGGTAGAACAATTTATGAGTAATCTTGTATTACATTTTCAAATCTTAGATTTAAAAAGAAAAATTTTTACGAATTCTTAACTCAAAATAATTTGCTAATTTTCGTGATTTTTCCATATTTTGTCAAATTTTGAACTTTAAGTGCTTATAAAAAAAAACTGTGACTAAGGATTTTTAATGTTTTTCATCTGTCTTTGAAACAATATACTAGGAGCCTTCTATTAAATTTTCAAGCTTTTTCAACCAACAAATACAATTTTATTGATATTAGAAAAAATATTTAAAAAAATGGAAAATGAAAATGTCCGTAAAGAGCTCACAATAAGTCAAAATATTTGGAAAATGTTATGGTGTATAGAAAATGCTAATATAAACATTCAGTCAAAATTGCATGTACCTACGGTCATTTGTTTAAGAGTTGCATGAAAAACCAAAATCGAATTTCTCGAAAACCGATTTTCCGTAAAAATTCCCGTTTTTCCTTAATTTTTATGTTGTTTTTCCCGGTGCTTGTGAAAACTATTGGAAAATTTTGACCTCCCCAATGCACCAACGATATTCACTTTCGAATCGAAAAAGATACTGAAGTTGAAAATCGAAGCATTATTTCGACTACTTATCGTGTACACAGACACAAAAATAAAATATAAAAACACACATCATTGTAAAATCAATACATTCATCGTTCCACTCAGAATCTAAAATGTAGTTTTAAGTTATTCAGAGGTTAAACTGAAGTTAATCATCTATTGTTTCAGTCCATATGTCCACATGTGTTTGAGTAAGGATTTGTAAATAAGGAGTTTAGTATAAGTGTGTGTATATTTGTTATTATAAACGAGATTTTTTAAAAGTCGTAATCGTTGGTTTAAATTTACTCTTTTGCAGGATTTGATATGCTGGGCCCAGGTCAGCCTTTTATCGAGGGTTAATCCAAGATGTTTAGTATTCTGAGCACTTGGAATTTGGGTCCCATGAATGAAAATATCATCGCGAGGGGCAAGTTTTAGGGTGAACGTCGTATGGATAGATTTGGATTGGTTAATTTTAAATCTCCAGTTGATGTACCAATCTTCCATAAGAGTGTGGGTTAAAAATATGAAACACATTTTTTTTTTCGATAGTTATATTATTTTCAAATTTGGACGAAATTACATATTAAATAACCAAGAATAACAATTTTAGAACACCGGAATAGAAAAATGTATTTAAACATAATATTTAGTCATAAGTAACAATTCCCCCCCCCCAATTATTGTAATCAAATTGTAAGCCAAAAATTAAAAAGACATTAACAAAATTATGTAAAAAGCTAATGGCCTATGTCGCCGAAGCTATACAAAGATCAATAAAAAAAAAAAAAAAAAAAAAAAAAAAAAAAAAAAAAAAAATTTTAGTTATTTTTTTGTAATTTTATAATATTAATTCAACTTACCGATTACCGTACCTATTAATAATAATATAAATATAATATAAAATATCAACACTGACAAACCATCTCCGCTCAGAATCGTTTTCGTTTACATTTATACATACAATGATATTATAACATTGAATTCAAATTTAATACCATCCATTATACAGTGACCCACTTGTAACCTACTATACAGCAGAGCGACATCCACTTTTTTTAATGATTCTTAAATATAGTTTTTTTTTTATTTTAAAAAGTATATTTACAATCTATACAATAAACAAGGTATAATGAGTTAGTGTGGTGCATGGGCGTAACTAGGATTGAATACAGGGGGCTAGTGTCCTATAAAACCATAGTTTAAAATAACACGTGGGGGGCAAAGCCCCCCACACTCCCTTATAAGATTCACTGAAATTTAGTTGTTACGAAAAGTCCGCTCAAACCATAATTTTTTGGGACATCTTCGGTCTTAGCGCTACTCGATTTTTTTAAATAATATAATATATAATGAACCTTTTTTATAATTGTATACAATAAAATCCAACGTATTTACGGATATTGTATACGTACCTACTCAAAAATAACGGCTATGACAGTCTGTAATGGTACCTACCTACTTTGCAGTCTGCACTGACGCACAGTAAATCGAGAACTGAGAATTGGAAAATAAAATTATTATATTTTAATTTATAATAGTATTCAACCACTGTACGAATGTGCGATACAACTAAAATAGGTAACTATAATATTATAAGAATAGCCAATAGGTATACCAATACGGCACACGGGCACCTAGCTATTTATAAAGGTAATACAAATATAAAATAATATAATAATATTATATATAATAGAGGCGTTATATAGCCATATAGGTAAGCTTGAAGCTAATAATATGCAATAAGCAGATAAGCTATACGCCTTAAACACATAAACGAATTTCTTCCTCGAAAACTATGACCAATTACGATAAATTCGTACTTGTTACATACCTACCTATACAGTTGTACACAATGTCAATAATTATAAATTTATTATTTTGCACATTATTTTTTTTTTCATATCGATTTGGGTTCCAACTACGAGCCTATAAGGAGGGGCCAAAAAATAAAACATCATAAGGGGGCTAAATAGAAGTACTGAGGAGTGAGGGGGCTAAGCCCCCCTAGTTACGCCAATGGTGCCACCTGACCAGAAATAGAATAAATATAGTAAAAAATGTCAAAAAGCTGAATTTGAATAAATTCTTTATTAAAGGGAAAAATGGGTATGGATATACTATAATATATTTCAGGCTCCAGGTTTTTTTATATATTTTCTGGTATGGTGTGCGTCATTATTTGTATACGCGGTGGCGTTGCGGGTGCCCTCCCAAGTCCAAATTGTCGAGCATACTTTCTACATTAGTATACAAGTCCCGACACAAACTAAAATATGCTGTGGGGTGGTAGGGACGCAGGGGGGCTAAAAGAAGCGGTGTTCCTTTGGCCACCCTTACACGAAGTATGTGAGTCAACCACCGAGCGCTAATTGTTATGTTTCGTGTGATTTATTCCGACGCGTAGGTGTATATATATACAATATACATAAAACATTCTACCTCATAAGTCATAATATATTATAATATACGGGGTGATCCGTATAAGTAGCTACACTAAATTTCTTAGTTAATTTTTCAATAAAATATTTTTTATGTAGGCACATATATAGTTAAGTAGAAATATTTCAAGAACAAATAACTAGGTATATAATATGATGTTCGGATATAATAGTAAAATACGCCCCTATTATCACGAGTTAAAGAAAAAAAAACGCTACAGTAATAGACCATGTATAAAATATTAAGAAAAGTACTGCGTATAGTATTATATAGTCACTTAAACAACGGTTCACCCCGTATACACCCCTCATTATTACACCTAGGTATATATATATTATGTACAGGTATACGATTCAACGATTGTGTACGTACATACATACACGGTTTGTGTTGCTATGCGAACGCTATATTTAGGTATATAAGACACCTACCTACAACTACACTGCAACAATAAGGCGTTTTGAGCGCGGGCGAACCGACGGAGACGGGTGGTCATTGGTGGTGTGCCATGCCTGCACTCGTATTGTTGCACCGTAATAATATTATAATATATTTCATGATGATAATTATTTTTATAATATCCGAGCCCCAATAATAATCATAATTATTATTATTATCGGCGTTTAGCTGGACGCGTGGCCAATTCCGCACTGGTGCACGTCACATCGTCGTAATATAATATAATATAATGCAAACCGCCACGCTGCGTCCGGACGTCCGGATCGCCGCCGACCCGGTGTCCACGCCGGAAAAGTTTCGCTCCGGCCACTGTCACCTGGAGCTGACGCCCGTCTGGCAGTACGTGATCAAGAAGAACCGGTTCCCGGCCAACGTCGACCGGCAGGAAGTGTTCGCCGAGCTGGCCGTCCGACTCCAGCATCCCGAATGGCAGGTCGGTGAATATTGTGTTCGGTGCATAGATCCTGGAGCTCCATGCAGGAGCGGCCACAACCTGGTTGAATCCTTGGTTGGGAGGGGGGGCCAAGTAGTAATTTTCAGAAAATTTCAATGATTTTTTTTTTGTAATTTTGTTTTTTACAGTATATAATAATTGTTTAGAAATACAGCTTGGGGGGCCCTAGTTCCCCCCAACCCTGAAGCCGCCACTGGCTGCATGGCTGTTGCGATTGTGCAGTACCTATATAATATATTATGTTTTATTAAGTATACTATACCATGATGGCCAGTCATTGGCCACAAATCACAATATGTTTGGCGCAATAGTATACCGGTGACATGTTGTATGGGGCCGTGCTAAGATAACCATATTGAAAACCAATTTTATTGGGTCGTTCCAAAAGCTTCTTTTTTTAAATATTTATATACATTAATTTCTGAAATAATAGTTAAGTACTTAATTATATAAAATATTAAAACCGCGTTTGTTTTTAAATACCTAGTAAGCCATGTTTATTCTACGTAAATTATTTATATATTTTTTAAGGGTGTTTTCCAGCAATTTTTACTTAAAGATGCATATATTTATTATGTTAATAGGTAGATATTATTTTGTTACCAGCAGATTAAATTATAGCTTTCGTTTATAATACATCATTTTCACGGAAAAAATTATCCACGTACCTAGCAATTATAAAAAGTTGTGCAAATCTATTCATCTACAATAAAACGCCACCAAAATGCTCAATCATTGTTATATAACCGTATTAGATATATAGTATTATTTATTTATGACATACTATTACTTACCCGCTAAATTGTTTATCGTAGGAAATCTTAAACTTTTCAATAACAATAATATCTATATTTTACACAAGTTTAATTGTGAATTATTTTATATTTAACTTTTTCACACGTCACGCCAGCCCCCGTATAAGAAATTTTGTATTTTTTTTTTAGTATACTGTATAGTGTATATGCTATACTCGCTATTTGTACGAACAAGTCTTAGAATTTGTATGGCAACCCTTAAAAGAGTTATATTAAAATTAAAATAGGGGGGGGGGGCTGGTATGACTTTTCAAAAAATGAAACCCAGTGCACTGAAATGACTTGGCCACGTAGGTACGTTCTTTAATCCTGCAACATAACACGTCATATACGCAATACATTGCAGGTGAGACTTCACGGTTCACGAGTGCTGGCTTACGTTGTACCAGCAGTCGGCCCACAACTGGATGCGTTGATGTCCCCGACAATACTCCCGGCGGTCATTACGAATCTTGCACACTTTTCACCGGCCCTCAGAAGTAGCTCTATGGATGCGATATTGGTTTACGTACAACACTCCGCGGACCCCGAATACGTTCTCAAGTCCATGATCGTACAAGGATTGGATGTATCTGGTGCCAAATCAAGTCTCACCGTGAATGTCATGGAATGCGTTCCTGTAGTACTTCAGCAAATCGTTAAGAGAAATGGGGAACGGCCTGTGAGTGGAAACATAATTCTTTAAACAATGCGATTATTTTATTCATATTATTTACAAAAAAATATTTTAAACACGTATAGCAGGTGTCAGGTGGTCCAACGCTCCTATTGGTATTTGGTCATAGGTCATATAATTTTATACTCGAAAATCGAAATTCAGTGATGAAAATATAAATATTGTATATTTTTTATCATTTTAGTTTTTTTCCCAATTGCATACTATATATTTTCGGTTCAGTATAAATATAGGGGAGCTTAATGGCTAATGTCTTAATAACGTGTTTCTGGTGTTAAGTTTTAAAAGTATATATTTATAAAAGGTTATTTTAGAATAATAAATTTTATACAGTGCTAAAAATGATATTGATAGAATCTAAATTTTTGATGCCACAAAAAATACAATGATTTCTATTTAGAATATCGTATTAATTAATAATGATCTATAAAACAAAAACTATTATTATCATTTTAAATATCACTAAAGTTTGTATTAAATTGTAATTATAAATTGTTATGTTAAGAAATATCCCAACTCATAGTAAATGACATATAAAGTAGGTACTCGTGATTGAATTAAAAAATATAGAGTGGCTGAGTGGTTTCAGTCATTAAACTTTAAACTCAATCAATTTGAACTTTAAAGTTTTAGTCTATTTATTTTGTCCAGATTGCCATACCTACGTTTGTGCACCTTGTAACTGCCTTATCCAACAAGATGGTACAAGCGACATTTCAACAAGCCGCGGTTTACTGTTTGGACAGAGTTAAAGAAATTGTCGGAAGAAATAAATTTGATCACTATCTTGAAACATTTCATCCTATTATTAAAAAGGTAAGTTATTTAAATTTTAAACAATTTATTTCAACTGAATAATGGTATTATATTTATGCTTTATGGTACTACTATACTATACATAGGTAGTAGGTACCTATATTATTTACCTATCTACAACCTACCGTGTCCATACGAATAATAAAAACATTTATAAGTAGGCCTTACATGTTTAAATAGTAAATACTAATAGTCATACATATAAGACTATAAGAATTAAGACTTAAGATAAACACGTTGGTACTAGTACTTATAAATTATAAAATATAGTAGTATAAATTTAGGTATACTAACCTATACTAGAAAATATTTGTTGTACCTATACTTACCTACCCATAACCAAAACCATTGGTATGTAAAAAGTGTTATTTTTTTTATCGATATTAAGTTATTTTATTATTTTTGTCCAATTGTATTTGCCGCATTAGGATTAGGTATGTTGGTGTACTGTATTTCTGTATTTGTATAAAATAAACCTTCCGAAAAAAAATATATTATATAATATTATCATGTACCTATACCTACGACCTACCCTATATTAGGTATTTAGGTACCTGTAGTTTATACATATAGGTATAATCATACTATCCTACATAGCTACATAGGTAGTATTAAGTATTTAACTTTTAATTTTAGGATTGCATTAAGTTATATTTTCTTCATAGGATTTTGAAGTGTTGTGTGAAGTGTATAGAATATCTTCATCGTCTGGTCGAGATTCTTCAACATCGTCGTATGACGATGAAGACGATGTAGAAATTCCAAAAACACCTAGAAGAGTAACGTTTGGTGGAGAGCTTATTAAAATTCGAAGTCCTGATGTTTCTGATGACCCTGCAGAGGTAATCAAGTCTACTGGTATTCCAATTCCAATCAAGCCTGCATTAAGCATACCAAAACACCCCAAAGATGAAGTGGAAAACATGGCAATGAAATTACCACATTCACGACAAGTAAAAATTACATTTACCTCAACAGTTTTATTTTATTATATATTTAGCATGATTATTATTTAATTTTTTTATATATCTATGCCTTTATAGGTATATGCTAATATTCAATAATACTATTATAATGCCTGTATACCTATGTTGCCTGTACAATTTTATAATTTATTCTCATAATTTAATAATATTATAATATACATAATTTAATTAATAAATTAGTTTGACCTACCTTAATAGTGCTTTTATACTAGTAACCATTAACCATTATCTATAATTTATCATGTTTTAATCATAGTTAACTTTGCCGGTTTTCAAATTTCATTTGGCGCACATACATAAATTAATTGCCACAACTTGGTACTTATGACTTTTTCAAATAAAAAAAAAATTAACATTTATAAAGTTTTCGTTAAAAAAATTGATAGTCTAGGTATATAACACAATAAAATAATTAAGAATAAAACTAAGTAAACTTTCAACTTAGAACTCCAAAAAAACTTTCAACTCAACCCGAGTTTAAAAACTTTTAAGTTTGCCCCACAAGTCACAACTTTATTATTAGCTAGTTACCTATACACTTTAGTGATTTGGCTCCGTACTTTATATTAGATTACGTACACGATACACCTACAATACCTATGGATTTCGTTGTGATAAAAATAGGTGTCTATTTCCTAAACTGAATCAATGCGTTTACAGTTGCTTTAAGTGTAGGTAGCTAAAATTATTTCAGAAAATCTACTATAAGTATTAACTATTGCATCATTTTATGTATAAAATTATTATTGTTAACATATTATACATTCTCAGTGTTTTTCGACTTGAATTTGTAACCTAGGTACCTAACACGTAGTTAATTATTAGATTTTTTTATTCTATTTTCCTCGTCCAAGTATAAAAAATTATTTTAAACTACCCTCCATATCGTCTAAGAGTCTTGGTAATAAAGACCTTTAATTATCTTTAAACTTTTCAACAACTGAAACTACTGAGATTCTACTAGGTATTTTATTATGATTAAGATTATTCAATTTTATTCTATTTAAGATATTATTGTAATATCAAATTATAGGATTTATATATTATATATATTATAGGGTTATATAATACTCAACTTAAACTAATTTTTTTTTTTTCTTTCATATAAATGTACTTAAAAATGAATTGCGTCGTACATAGGTATCTCAGAAATTAGAATCGACCTGTGTGTTAGTAAACTTAGTAGGTACACAGCTTTTGTATAGATTTAGGTGCCCGATAACGTCCAAGTCTTTCCGGCTATCGTGGCGCGTGGTTGTAGACATTATAAATAGGTCAACATCGAGTCATTAAGGCATTAATCACGAAACACTATTGCCCTACATAAAGCTATATACAGGAGTTGAAAATTAGCATTTTTGCGTGTTACTGTAGATATTCACTTTTCAACGTCGGTACCTACCTACTTTCTGTGGAAAAGTGACGGCACGTGAAATTGGGTCAAATTAATAAGTTTTTCATTTATATGAAATACCCGCCACCTGCGTGTCGGTGTACTTTTTATTTATAATAATGGTATAAATCGGACACCAGTAGATGTATACCTAGTACCTATATTACTATAACATATTCAGTGATGATACAATATTGTCTTGTATTGTGTAAGGTCATCTTGGATCAATATATTATAACAGTTAGGAAAATGAAGCATTTTAGGTTAAATGACTAGTGACCATGCGAATACCTATATATGGTGTGTGACAGGAAATCTATAAAACAGTTTTGACCGAGGGTGAATAACCCCAATTTTCATTATTAGATAGGTGCATAATAAATGCTATATTTACCCATTACCTATTTATATTGACTAGGTATATATATTATATATTAAAACATACATTGTTTTTTAAGTCTCTCAACTTGGCATTATAACTTTATTTTATTCTTAGACCCAATTTCGAAGCTCCGGTAATTATTTGTATCAAAAACGAGTAATCAATCAAGTGAGGCCAAACACCTTACCACCCTTACGACAATCAAGTATTTACCTATACTATGAATAACTTTTCATGTGTTTCAATATTTCGAATTATTAGATATTTTTTCTATAACTTTTCAGATTTCAAACAATTTTCAAGTGCTCGTGTAGGTCCGTTATTAGGCACACCTTTCAGAAGGAAATTGGACGATAGGTATATAATACGTTAAGGAATTTTCCAGCCGTTTTACCAACACTTGTAAATCAAAGAACAAAATTATACATTTTTTTTTTTTAGAATATCATTTAATAAGGGATTTTTTTCTCCACACGCTATTCTTTGTACTGGAAGGACCAACGATTCGTTTGATGTTAGTATACAACTTTAATGAAACAATAGATCTATTATACTATTATACACACCTGTATTATATACATTATACACTGAACTATATATATATATATATGCCTGCAGGCGCGTATTCAGGATCATCACTGCATGCGAATATACGGTAGTGGCCAGTGAGTATAGACTAAAGACTAATGGAGTATGGGCTATATGTACAGACTGGTGAGGGTTTTTTACCGATTAAGACGATTAAGTAGGTACACTTAAAAGTTGGAGGAACGTGTCAAACACAATGGTCTATACCAGTGTTTCTTAACCTGTGTTCCGCGGATCACACTTAGGGGTTCCGCGAAAGCACTTTATCAAAATATTTAAAAATAACTAAAGATCAGAGGTGGCTAATCTAAGGTGGAAAAATCCGTTGGCACATATAATATAAAATATTACTTAATAGTCAATTACAGATTATTTATTTTTAATGGGTTTTTGATAGAATAATAATTATCAACTATCATTTGTCAAACTTCGAAATCATCGATTACCCTACATATTTTTTTATTTTTTTTTCTAGGGGTTCCGCATAAAACAACATATTTGTTTGGTGTTCCGTGATATCAAAAAGGTTAAGAAACACTGGATCCCGCGTAGCATTTTTCACTGGCCCGTGCTACATTTCAATTTAGTTTATAAAAATATAAAATTTTAAGATTATTAAAATCGATATGATGTTTATCGTAAAACGTTGATATAAATTCTTATCTAATATTGAACTAAGATATTGAACCCCATATTATAGGACCCGAAGATACACCGCTGCCACTTACATGGTTTTTTTGACGATTTTTTATACGGTTATTCAGCTAATATAGTAGGTATAGCCGTATAGGTATATAAAATGAAATCAAAGGTTAAGTATTAATCTTTTTTATGCGGACTATGAAGCTTAAAAAAAAAAATAGTCATAATTAAATCCTAATATTCTATTTATCTACTTTGTACTTATAATTGTAAATATTAATACCTATAAATTATGTACAAAATAATTCATTTATTGGAACTCAATATAAACTATATTATAGGCTCTTTTATGCATGCACATAAACTAAAAGGATTTAATATTTGAAAATGTTCCTTATTGTGGATCTCAATACCTCTTAACTCCGACATAAAAAATTAAAAAAACTATGTTTGAATATTAAAACATCAGTAAGAAAAATATACTTTTTTAATTAAATTAAATTAAAATTAATTATTCTTATTATTAATTAAACGCTGTGGTCCATGAGCACTGGGAGTATAAGGAAACATCTCGGGAAACATGCTGCGTTCAAGGGGGGATCAAGAGACCATCGGGACCAGGGATAGCACTTTATGCTGGGCCATGGGCGTCCTTTAAATAACCAATACTAATTATTATTGGTTTCAAGTGTGCACCGGCTAGCCACCATTAATCCAGAAATGGCGAAATGGTTGATATATATATCTATTATTTAATCACAATTTTTTCTCGAGTCAATAGGCACATACATCCAATTGCCAACTTATTGAATATTAAAAAAAAAAAAAAATAATGTTCAATACCTTAACCTCCATCGGACATCCTTCATACGCGCCTGAATGAGTGTAATTTATTATATTATTATTTCTATTCAGTAGATATCAAAACTTTTGTTGTGTTTTAGATTGTTACTAGAGATTGTTACCTACTTAGTTTTAACAAAGGATTAAATTATTTAATCTGTGGTTTTAATATAATATTACTCACTTAAGAGGACGTTACACCGACAATTGTTGTTTCCGTCTCACAAGTGTGTAACATAGTAAATTGTACGTTCAGCAGAACATGTGTAGCTCTGTTAGTATAAAAATTATAGTGAATTGACCTTTTATACAATTTTAAAGTAAGATTATTATCTAGGCAATTTTATCAGCTTTTTATTATATTTTAATTTTAAAGTGAGTTAAGAGTATTTTAAAATTGTAAATTGTTTGTACATCTAAAAATACTCATAACTCTCTTTAAAATTAAAATATAATAAAAAGCTCAGGAGGTTGCCTGGATAATAATCATACTTTACAATTTTATAAGAGGTAAATTCACTCTAATTTTTAAACTAACGGAGCTAAACGTGATTTGCTAAGCATAACATTTGCTATGTTATGCACTTGTAAGACAAAGACAACAAACGTCAGCGTAACGTCTTCTTAAATAATAACTAACTTACACTAGTGTAGTTTTGTCCATCACTACGACACCATTTTCATCTAGCGAAGAATATTGAAATTGGTTACGACGTTTTTAAGACTTATCGATTTGGTTTCATATTATTTTGTCCAATCTGAGTGATCTTAAAATATAATAGTTTATCGTTAGGTATCTTGTGTATTATACTAAGCGTCTAAATATATTTTATACCTATACAGTATACAACATATAGTAATATAGTATACACTATACATCATAGATTTATTAATTTATTATTACCTACTCTTGGAGTTTCTTGACTACAAATCAATCATAGGTTATCATAACTTAGATTGAGGAAGGTAAACAGTTGAGTTTAACGTCATTCTAACTCTTAATTATATTTTGTCTTTACTGCAAAGTAACTAGCTAGAAAGTAAAAGGTAAAAGGTATACTATATGTCTATAATGCATGCACAATATAAAAATAAATGATCACATTTTTTTTGCATGGTATGTTTTTGTTCTGTTGAACATAAATTACCCATACTGTAATACTGTACACATTTGTATAATATATTACAATAATACAATTCAATGATTATAATATTATTTATAAATTAAATATTAATTATTAAAACTTATATTATTTATAATTTATAATTATTTTTACACTACTGAATTATTGTTTTTTTTTTAGAGAAATTATAAAAATATGAAGATGGACAAAACATTTAAAAAGTGAGTACAGAATACACATAAACATATTATTATACATTATTCAACATATTAACTTTATTAATTTTACAAAATATATATAATAGGTATAACATGTAAACTAACGGTTTATTTTGTTTATTATACTTTAATAGTAATCCCTATTTTTACCTATTATTTAAATATTTTGTAAAACCAGGAATTAAGCATAGGTATAATTTATAAACATAGTTTCAAGTTTCATACAATATAGTACAGGTACATTAATAACTTACATACATTATTAAATGTAATAAATTATTTAAATTAAACAATAGATTCATGATGAATTTAAACCTTCATCAAGATAGTGTACTCTCTGTCCATATTTTTGTCTCAATTCAGGCCATTGAACAATTATTAAATCGGCAATAAAATACATTAATTTTCCAGTTAGAGATAAAGACTTAACTCGGCAGATACTTTCTACAAATATAATTGATGTATCTGCATAATGGAATAATTTCATCAAAAAAGCAACCAGACATACTGGAACACAAGTACCTGGTCCATTGCATAAAACCATATCCGGTCTGAATGATATAACCACAGGCACAGTTATAAAAATTGCATAAATAGTTGAAAAAATAGATGTTATATACGATTGATTTACATGTCTTGATCGCGGTATAGTTGAAATGGACCAATCTAAACCAATTTCATCGTTTTCTACACGATTACGGCTTGTTGTATCGGAGTCGGCTAATAGATACAAACGTGGCGTAAATTTCAACTTGTTCATATTATTCATTAAACGCAACATTTCAGCTGTATGTCCGCCTGAACCAATGACGATTAATGTCCGAACAGGTTGTTTTGATTCTTTAAGTGATCGTGTATTAGTTAGACGTTGGAAAATTATATACATAAGACGACCAGAAAAGTACGCCGAAAATATGGTTGGGATCAGCAACCACATAATAAATAATAACATAGTTATAAATACGACTTAAACTTGTTTTTATAATTTACATTTTAAACTTGAACTTGCAATATTTTAAATGTTTAATATGCAACTAAAATATTATGAATAACAGCTTAAAAGAAAATGTATGTTAGAAAAAAAAAGTCCACGCAATAAAGCAAAATAGTATAGGTCGAGAAACCACTGAGAAATATTATTGAGAGGAAACAGAGACACAAAAGATATTTGATCATGGCTTAAATATACTACGTTATCTAATACTAAATAGTAAATAGTAAAATACTAAATACTAAAGTATATTTAAGCCATGTTTATTTTGATAAACAGATAAAAGGTTTTAATTATATGATAACATATTGTATTAAGTGATAAAGTTATTAAGGTACCAACCACAGACCACGATATAATATATTTTCGTAGGGTGGTTCTGATTGCCCCATATTTTTATGGCGGCAAATTCAAAACTATAAAATCACATAATAATTATGTGTATTATTAATAATTTATTATGTTTATGTAGTTTAAAGATAACCTCAGTGGCGTCCGCAGGATTTTTCAATGGGGGGGAGCTTGAAAATTAGTTGAAATTTTATTTTTATTCTGTCCAGTCTAATAATTTCAGACGTTTATTTGAGGTATTTTAAAATGTTTGCAACTTTTCAACTTTTCTGGTAGAAAAAAATGCTTTGATCATAAGCTTCGATACCCAGTGTATGTTTTTGGAAGTAAATTGGGTCTAGTTGGTACTTTTAGGAGGTCAAATTTGAATATGCTCAGTGCTTTTAAAAATAATTGGAGAAACAAAAATGAAAATTTATTTGAATTGTTTGGTGACAAAAGCTTGGTTATACTGTCCTCACATAGATTGTACTTGATTAATAAAATTTGTTTTTCTATAAATGTAAATAAAAATTATTAATCCGGTCCAAAATTTTAAAAATATAATACTTAAGTTTTTTTATTATAGCTAAAATATATTAAGGTTGTAAGCATCATGGTTATTTTTTATAAGCATTTAAAGTTCAAATTTCGTCAAAACCACAGTTAATTTGTAGTTCAAACTTATAAAATATAAAATATTTATAGCTAAGGCTGGACAATTTAATACAAGGTCTTTCATACAAGTAGTTCATACTTTTATCGAAAAATTTCCGATAATTTATGAAAATTGGTATGCAAATACAATGTTTTTTCAAAAATGAATTCATTCTGGTAAGACATATTATATGAAATTTACGTCTTGCTCACTATAGTTGACAGTTTAAACTTGATTAATATTTTTTTGAAAAAGTAATAATAATACGGCAATGTGGGGGGGCTTCAGCCCGTTAGCCCCCCCCCCATGCGGACGCCACTGGATAAGATGATTAGACGAATTGATTAGGTATTATTTTAAATGTATTTATTAAATTGTGTTTTATGAAACTTATGCCACAAACCAATAGCTTAATATAAAAAAAAATGTTCATTATAAAAAAAATATGGTACTCATCTATCCACCTATTTAGATTCCTTTGTGCAATCGTGAATTTTTTAGAATTGTTCAAGTTTTAGTTTTAAAATTAAAAATGTGGGCAAGTGGGTGTCGCTTGCTGTACAGTAGGTTGCAAGTGGGTCACTGAAATGGATAGTGTTAAATTTGAATTCAATGATATAATATCATTGTATACATACGCGTGCGCAGACTTTTTTCGCAGGGTATGCCAGTATTTTTAAAAATACCTAGCTCAAAACAAAAAATAACTCCCCAAAAACTCTTAGGTAATAGGTACAAATAACTTACGATATAGCCATATATAGGTAATGGCAAATGGCGTAGTGCGAAAAGAAATTAACATGCATTTTATTTAGCTTATTCATTGGTTTTAGATATTTTAATTTTAAAAGCTTGTACTGTGATTTCATTCCAATAAAGTAACAGTATAAAAAAAAATTTAGACATTTGATCATATTATTAAAATAATATAATAACGATAAACTAATTAATTGAAATTCTTTTATTTTTAATAGTTGTAGGTAGTATGAAAATAAGCAGTCCTGTAAAGTATTTGAGTAAAAGTATTTGAATAAAAGTATTCAAATACTTTTTTAAGTATTGAATAACTTTTTAAATACTTTCAGCATGAAGTATTTTGAATGGTATTTTAAATACTTTTTTTTGTATTAAATACTTTTTGGTATTGAATACTTTGGTTTTTTATTTCGAACATTTTATTTTTATTCGAAATAATTTTAGAAATTTTAGAATGAATTAAGAACACAAAATAGGTAGTATCACCAATGGGTGGTTTCTTCCCTCAAAAAAAATCATACGCAAATACCCTATGCACATTTGCTTATTGTTCTAGTTAAGAACAGATTGTAAATTTCATGTCAAAATAAAAAAAAAATGTAATAAACATTTATTTAATAAATAATAAATAAAAATGATTATAAATTTACTACCTATGTGTCTATATTACAATAATTAGAAACCCACTTTAAAAACCAAAAGTATTTGAAAAGTATTCCAAATACTTTTTCAAAGTATTTGAGTAGTATTTGAAATACTATACAATTAAAGTATTTGAGTAGTATCTTAAATACTTAAAAAAAAATGTATTTGAGTACTTACTCAAGTACTTTTCAAAAGTATTCTTTACAGGACTGAAAATAAGCAATACCGCAGGAGCCTGAATGTTCTGGTGATAAAACCTGCAATTCTCAAGAAAATGGTAGATTTTGATTTCAACTATATTAATATGAGTTAGCAATCTGGTGATTATGAAATCTAATTAGTATTTGATTTCATCTCAACTCCCAATATTTTATTGTAAGAAAATTATATAAAAAAATAATCAAAACATTTAAATTCTTGATCGAAGATACCATGAATTATCTTAGTTCATGATTTTAATTTATAATCAAATCATTTACAACTAAAAACTATATAGTTATGATAACTCTGCAGGGGATGCAATGGCATACCCGGCATCCCCCCTGCGCACGCCTATGATTGTATACGAAAAACGATTCTGAGCGAAAACGGTCAGCCTATGATTTATAAATTATACTAAGTATATTTTATGATATTATTATGTGAGTAAAGTAGTTTATTTAGATATTTACGTGGAACCTTGTTTTAAATTTTCAATCCTTAGCTATAAAAGTTGAATATTTTATAAATTTAACTACAAAATCATTTTTAAATTTTCAATTTGATAAATTTTATAAAAATGTGAGCTTTAAATGTTTGTAAAAAAAATTGTCCTATGTATTTTTTCTATTTTTCAACTGATAGGTATTATAACAATATATCAGAAGCCTTGCATTAAATTTTTCACTCTTTTTCATCCAACAAATAACATTTTATTTACATTAATTAAAGGAAAAAATTAATTTTAACCTCCCAAATGCACCAACTAGTTTCACTTTCCCATCGAACAAGATATTGAAGTTGAAAATCGAAGCATTATTAATAATGCTCTATCATAAAAAGAAAATGAAAATCTAAAAATTGCATTCCTAGTTGTTTTAACTTTTAATTGAAAGGGCAGCTCCAATGACTGGTTGGCGGGGCTAATGTAATCATTTTTGGAAATCTTTCGATAGGTATCTTACCGATTATAATATAGTTTTTTTTTAATATTAATTCTAACAATATACCTACAATTTTTTAGAAATACGGGCTTGGTAAGGGGTCATGTCCCCTAGGCCCCCCTGGAGCCGCCCCTGTCTTATCGCTTGCCTACTATAATACATGTATAATATTAATATATTCCGTATTTGTAAGCCAGGTCCTTATTTTAATATTATTATTTCCAGTCATATATAAATAGGTTGACTTTAGATCATTTGTACAAATTAGTATAGTGTAGTAGATGTAAGGTACCTATCTGCAGATGGCGTGGTACTGCTATTAAATTGTATATAAGTTGGAATATTAGTAACCTATATTGTGTCTGATAAGCAGTGTTGCAACCTATAGGATTTTTTTTTATTTTGGGTGAGGGGGTGCATCATATTTTTCAAAACAATTATTAAAATCCCTATTTTTAAAAAACTCTTCTTTACTTATTACGCTAAACCTCGATTGGACTCCGCTTTTTTTATGACCTCTGTGCAAATATATACTTATCAGTGGGAGCTTTGGAAACAAGAAACATTAACATATTTTGCCCTTCAATAAAATTTACATTCTTATTACTGTAAAAAATTGCACTAAAATATATTGATTTTCCATGGAGATACAAGGGTGACATGGAATTTTTTGAACATTCACGTATATCGCACAGCTAATAGGCCAAGGGCCAAGGGGCCCAGGCCCCTCTGCCCATCTTAAGGCCGCCACTGCTGATAAGTGATCCATTGATGTCATCACTTATCAACATATACATTTAATATATATATATACATATATTTATTGGCTATATACCAGTTACCTATTACACTAATCGGGTTAAATCGTTATATAGGCGAATGACGGAAAACATCAACAAGTCCCCCTCATATATAATATAAATGAGAAAAATATCAAACGTACAGTCCAACCCGAGCTGGGGTGACCGTTGACCTTGTTTAAAAACCCAATCAATCGCGTGCGTCCATAACTTAATATACCTGCAATAATATATAATATATATCAATGCGTGCATATAAAAGTCCACTCCCCCTTGCAAGAACCAGCAGGACCCTGCAGCACCGCTACGGCACACGCATCGTATTATTAATATATTATTAGGTATAATAAGCTATACCTGTGTATATTACATTTACATATATCTATATACATCCTACCTTTACCGCGTGAGTGTAATATATGTAAATGTGGTGGTCGGTCAGTCGGCACATTGGCAGTCCGTTTTTCACATTGCCGGCGACGGCCGCTGACGGCTTTTTCGTTCTTTTTTTTTTATCACGAGACACGTCCAATGTCCATCACTTCGCCGATATCACAATAGTATACAATTTATTATGTTGCGGTCTTGTTTTTGTTGCGGTTTCGCTCCTCCTCGTCCTCGTCGTAGTGCAGTTGTGGCGTCTCTGCCGCCGAAAGACCTCGCCGTCACGCCGATCCTTACCACGTTGGCAACGGCCAAACGCAGATACAGATTTCACAATTCAGTGCACCGGGACAAACGAAATAAACTGCACCGTAAACAGATATCTCTCAATCACACCATGTTCGTAGTGCCCAGGCACGTACCATCGGGTACGCCGACCACCTTCGAGTAAGATCTTTATATATAACTATATATAGGCTTCATTACATATTTTGATCCATCATATTTTCTCCATACGACCACACATGCATTTGGTAATATTCATGAAAATGGCACCACTCTAATAGTATGGGTTGAACTTTCAAGTCACGACTACCTATATGGATTTATGTCTATATACCTATATAGTGTGTAGGACTACACTGTAGGTATATATATGTGCCGACTTAGGTAGAATAGGTACTCTTGAAAATTATTTGAAATAAATACTCGAATACCTACTCATGAAAAATAGTATTAAGATTTCAGAATATGTATACGAATACTTCATAAAAATAGAAAATAGCATTCCGAATAAACTGATAAAGTATTCCAAATATTTTTTAGTTTTCGTTTTAAATATTAAATTAAGCCATTGATTATAAATACTAGCATTTATAATCAATGATTAAACCAACGATACTTTTCTTCGAGAAAATGAGAAATAAGCGCCAATATATAGTATTTAATAATTCTAAATATAATATAGGTACCTAATTAAAGTTGTTGATTCGAAATGTGTATAATATTGTAAATATTTCCAGAATAACAAGAAAAACAATTATTATTGTGCATAAAGTCTTTTAAAAAATATCCTAAATAGTTATACAAAATACTTTCGGGAAAAATATTGAGAATACCGGATTATTCAGACTACTCAAGACTGATCATGATACTAAGTACTAAGGATATAAGATTGGGCTATATATATGTGGATAAGACCTAAATATGATATAATATGTATACTATAATTGGGGTGGGAGCATTTTTAAGTTTTAGCGAATACCACTTAGCTCATCTGTGAAATGTGTAAAAACATTTTTACTATTGTATCTACCTACATATAATAATATAGGTATACTATATAAATGTACAGGAAAAATCACCCTATCATTGAATCAATGAATAACAGTAAATCTACTTCTAAATATATATATATTTAATAATAATTAGTCGTATATGCGTATATGGCATATTGGCATGTATACAGGTAGGTACAATATTATAATATACTTATTGTAGCCTGAAGGTATAAACTATAAATGTATAATTATACAAAAAAAAAAAATTTGGAAAAACTGTAATGGCCATTGGCCATAGCCCATAACTGCTAAAGTTTTGAATAAAAAAAAAAATTAGGCATAGTTATATAATATACATAAATTACCTGAATTTTTTTTTGTCATCAGTTTTGAGTCTTCTATGAGAACAACGTTTTTCCATGACTGTGGTGCCGGAGTCCAGCAGACAGGAACACAACAATAGAAAAATATCCGATATAGACGATGACATCCGTCGTCCTCCCATTCGTCGAGCGGAATCGCCTGGCGGCGGAATCAAATCTCCAGAGAACGAATATGATGCCCGGCGACTAACTCCGGCCAACCAGACGCCGTCAAATATTCCGGTCGAAAGCTCTGATGGCAGCGCAATATTGGGAACCCGACTTGTCGACCCCGACGATCGGCTTCTGCCGCAACAGCAACAAGTGGTTAACGATCACAAAAAATCACCGGCGCAGTCTGAAATGAATGATATCGATACAGAACTCGTCAAACCAGCAAATGTTAAGCTACAGTGTTCTACTGCAGGCGCAGAGGTTCAACCGCAAAACGAGTGAGTACTGAGTCCCTAGAGCCGCTCTTAGGACTTACGAGGACCGGGGAAAAATATCATTGTGTGCAGTGGTGGATTTAAGGCCACTCCCCCTCAAGGCAGTATCTGGGTTAATAAATTGGGCCGTTTTTAAATATTTGTGTCGTAAAACTTGGAAAAAGACAAAACTCTGAAAAAAATTAAAGCAGATACATGTAGTTTTCACTGAAAGTTTATATTATTAGTATTTTCTATACACCATACAATTTTCAAAATATTTTTACTCATTTGTGATATTTATAGAAATATGACATTTTCTATTATTTTTAGATTTTGAGTGGAACGATGAATGTATTGATTTTACAATGATGTGTGTTTTTTATTTTTTCTATTTTTTTTTGTGTCTGTCATCACCTTTTTGGACAGTAAAAGTGCTTGGATTTTCTTCAACAGTATCTTTTCTGATGGGAAAGTGAATCTAGTTGGTACATAGGGAGGTCAAAAGTAAAAATTTCCTAGTTGTTTTCAAAAGCGCAGTGAAGACAAAAGAAAAATTAAGGAAAAACAGGAATTTTTAAGCTAAATCGATTTTATATAAAATCGATTTTGGTTTTTGTTGTTACTCTAAAACATTTGAACGTGTATACATGAAAATTTCACTGGTTGTTTATATTTTCATTTTTCATACGCATGATAAAATTTTCCAAATATTTTGAGTTATTTAAAAGCTCTTTACGGACATTTTCAGTTTCCATTTTTTTAGTTTTTTTTTTTCTATAAATATCAATAAAATGTTATTTGTTGGGTACAAAAGCTTGAACATTTAATAGAAGGCCCCTAGTTTATTGTTTCAAAGGCAAATTAAAAAAATTAAAAATCTATAGTCACAATTTTTTTTTATAAGCATTTAAAGTTCAAATATTGACAAAATACGTAAAAATGACGAAAATTTGGAAATTATTTTGAGTTAAAAATTCATAAACAATTTTCTTTTCAATCTAAAATTTTAAAATGTAATACAAGATTTCTTATAAGATTATCTACCTTTATCAAAAAAAAAAAAATGTCTATAAGAAAGTCAAATTAAATTTTTATGAGCTTTTGAATTTCATATTTTTATATTGGATATTCAATCAATTTCTCATAAAGCGATTTCGTTATTTTATTGTTATTCAAAAACGAATAACTGTAGATACATGAAAATTTCACTGAATGTTTATATTAGCATTTTCTATGCCTCATACAATTTTGAAAATAATTTGACTCTTTTTGAGCTGTTTACGGACATTGTCAGTTTTAAATTTTTTTAGTTTTTTTTTCTATAAATATCAATAAAATGTTATATTATGTTGATTAAAAAATCGTAAAAGTTTAATGCAAGGCTCCTGATATATTGTTACAATAGCAGTGGAAAATTATTAAAAATACATAGGTAGGCATATTTTTTTTTTATAAGTATTCAAAGTTTGAATTTTGACAAAATTTATCAAATTTAAAATGTAATAATTATTTTGTAGATAAAAATGTATAAAATGTTCAACTTTTATATCTAAGGATTGAAAATTTAAACAAGATTCCACGTAAATAGTTAATTCTGTTATCAAAAAATCTAGGTTATATATAAATTACTTTATTCACAATAATATCATCATATATAGTATATACTTTGTAATATCGTAGGCTGACTGACCGTTTTTGCTCAGAATCGTTTTTCTTATACAATGATATTCTATCATTGAATTCAAATTTAACACCATCCATTACAGTGACCCACTTGTAACCTACTGTACATTAGAGTGACTTTTTTTTGTATTTTATCGATAAAAAATGTTTACTCGGTCAAAAAACTTAAAAATGTAATATAAGGTTTCTTGCAAGTTGTTATTAGTGGTAATTAAAAAAAAATTGAGCGTAAATCAACAATAGATTTTTATGCTCGTTTGATGTTTTGATTTTGACATAAAACTTAAAAATCACGAAAATTAGCAAATTATTTTGAGTCGTAAATTCATAAAATTTTTTTTTTATTTAAGATTTAAAATGTAATCTAAGATTCCTCACAACTCAAAAGTTGTCTACCTTATTCAAAAACAAAAATGTCTACTGAAAAGTAAAATTAAATTTTGATGAGAGTCTGAAGTTCAAATTTTTACAACATGGATATTCACTCGATTTCTCATGGAATGATTTTCTTATTTTGTTGCAATTGAAAAACGAATAACCGTAGATACTTGAAATCTACACCATATGTTTATTTTATCATTGTTTATACTTGGTAAAATGTAGATTTGTTTTGAACTTTTTACGAATATTTTTAATTTTTTTGCTTTGTTTTCTATAAATGTCAATAATTGAATAATAATATAAATTATATTACATTATATATTTATATCATATAAAATTACTTTTTATGCAATTCATAGTTCAAAAAGAAGTTTGACTTCTAAATTGCGAGACCCTGTCATTCTGAGCAAGGGCTCCACAAGCCCCACTTAAGAGCAGCCCTAAAGTCCTTACTCCAATACTCTATACAATGCAGAGCCATGGTCAGAAAATTTTTTTTGTGATGAGAGGCACTTTTTTTCTCTAGTTTTTCTATACACTTGACCCTAGTTCTTCACCCCACGCATGGCTACGGAGCTGATACAATGTACACGATGTATTATAGACGCGGTACGACTAAGATAGGATTAGTCTATCATATACTCATCATGGGGTTGTCTATGGGTGCTGGACAACCCCCTCCCGAACCTGTGTTTTTTTATTTATTTTCATTTATAATATAATGTATATTATATATATTTTTCTTACGGTTTACTAACATTTTGGGCCCTACCAGACGAGTCTAGTCAGACGAGATATCGATGAGTAGTGAGTACGGTAGGTAACAGTATACTATATAGGTATGTTAGTACCAAGCAATAGCTTATTAATTTTTCATTATATTTTCGAGTTAGACGTAAAGGAATTCAATTGTTACACTTAGGTAGTTCGGCAAAAGTGTTAATGATTTTTTTACTACCTACTGAAAAATAAAACATGAACTCAACTTTAATTTCAATTACATACATGCATAATATGAAATTACTGAGATTATAGTCTACACAAATTATTTACTTGCGTCTGTCTCCTTAGGAAAATTAACACCTATCAGAATTTAGAGAGAAGGGCAATGCCATTTTCGCACTTCGAAGTCTATCTAGGGTTTTTAATGAATTTATTCGTAATTTGTTTTCATACAGTAAAAAACCTGTGGCTGAAGTAAAACCTACGAAGTCTGCCGTGCAACCACCAGCGCCACTCGCAGCACCAACGGTCGAAAGGAGAAGGTCCATCGGAACGAACCTGAAAAAACGACCTAGTGAGATGGGACCAAATCTCACTCCGTTCAACGAACCTCAAAGAGCTCTACATTTGGTTTCTACTCAGATCAATAGTCCGGAATGGTATAGTTGATGGAACTTAATAAAATGTATAATCACAACTTTGGCTAGTACCTAGGGGAGTGAAGCATAGGCGCTTAGCTCCGTCAAATGAACATCTGTATGAGCCTCCCCAAAATAAGAAAGCTTTTAGACCCACCCCATTCCTTCCACAAAAATATATCGCACCGAGCACTATATCATTGTTATACCTGGTTTATACAATCATTCAATTTATTGTGTAATTTTTTATTGATTAACAAGTTATGTGGTTACGTTATAACAGGGAAGCGGCCGTCACGGGTCTACAGAATGTTTCACGACTGGCCATGTTCCACAGTAAAGAACTGCGTCCGGGTTCATTGCAGCCATTCGCTCGAAATGTGGCTAAACATATTAAATGTCTCCGATCTCAGGTGGCGCGAGCCGCGTGTACGGCTGCACAGAAAATGTTTGCCTACGTACCGAAATCAATGGAACCGGTACGTCGACGACACAGCAGCTAACGAAACGTCGAGGCAATAAACAGGCATTCAAATATTTTTTGAAATCGTAACATTTTTGTTTAGGACGTTGAAGAAATCGCATCGGCACTGTTTCCGCGTACAGCGGATACCAATAAATTTCTTCGGGTGCAGAGTGCTGAAGCTTTGAACGCAATGGTCGACAACGTAAATCCAGTAAAATGCGTGCATGTGATCACAGCTAAAGGGATAAAGTGAGCTTTGTAGCATCAGCTAAAACAAAATTGGAAACATAATATAGAATAAGTTAAGTAATTTTTACGTTTAATTTTCTAGACATGGAAATCGCATGGTTCGTGCTGAAGCGTGCCGTCTCTTAGCCAGAATGGTCGATAAACTCGGAGTCAGTGGAACTCTCCATTTACCAACGGATGCTAGAGATGCAGTGATAACTGCTGCCACTAGCATGGTATTCGACAATACGCCTACTTCTCGGTAAGTAATGAATCTTAACTATAACACTAATTGAAGATTGATTTCGTATAACTAGAAATATTTTCGTATGTTTTTAGTCAAGCCGCTCAACATATATTAACCAGATTGAGCGAAGATCCGAGAGGTGCAGCATTAATATCATCAGCAGCTTCACCAAATGTAAAAGCTACATTAAATAAATCGTTGTCAAGAATATTTCTTAAGTGAAATATTTTTTTGATCAACAATTATTGATTTGTTAAAATCAAATGAACATATTATTATATTTTAAACTATAAAATTTTGTACAATCTTCATTAAAATATTTTTTTTATCATTCTTATTAAGAATGATAATATATTTGTATTTACATAATTTTGTTTTTATATTTACATAATTTCGTAATTATTTATCGTTTTTTATGACTAAAATTAAAACAACATAAATAATAAAGGAATACGGAAAAGATATTAAAATAGATACACAATATTGTTGTGACAAATAACAAAATACTAGTTAAATTAAAATAAATAAAAACAAATTATAAGTAAATAGTAATACATCATAATAAACATTTTTACTTGGTTTAATTTATGGTGATGGACTAAAGCATTGTTTATAAGCTAAAATTTAAAGTGTTTATTGTAGTTTTGACCGCTCAATGGCAGTATTATGATCATCCTGAAAATATAAAAATTATATGATTTGGTCTACAGGCTATATTTTAGTAAATTAAAATAAATTAAATATTAACCTCACTATAATCCAAAATCGGTACAGTACTAGAAGTGGACAAATTTAAATATAATGTTAATTTCAAATATCAAATGTTTAGCTGAAACAAAATGTTAACAACTTACGTTTCATACAATGAACCTGGTATGTTTTCTTCAACCCATTTTAAATCATCATCCTATAGAATATCAATCAAAATTAATATATTTAATACAATACTGTAAAAAAATTAAGTACATACAAGTTGTGTTTGACTTTTTGTGCTACTATTTGATGCGGGATAGTCTTTGTATGGTGTCACATTAGAATTATTGTGGTTGGTATTTGTAGTGGTTCTCATCTTAACATCTGAACAAATATAATAAACATTGAAAAAAAATCTTTATAAGTGCAATAATAAATATTTTATACCACCATTATAAGTATCTTTAATAAATAATTCGGTTTCGTCTCTATCATCATCTGGAGCATCTAACAATGGAGTAAATGCATATCTATGTAACAAAACAAGTATTGAGATATTAATTATTATTATAAATTTAAAAAAAACTATATTTTAACCTTTGATTGTTATTAGTTGGTCTCCAGAGTATCATAATCACAAGTAAAATTATAGAAAACTCAATATGCCAAAATGCATCGTCTAGCCATTGCTCCTTCCAATTCTACAATTATTGAAAAAATATTAATGCTTATTAAATAATTTAATACTTTTTTAATTAACTTACACCACCACAATCTGACAATCGTTGTGTTTTTATAGAATACAACATAAACAAAGTTGAGGTTACAACAGTGAAACCAAGAACATTGGTAAAATGTGTATATAATTGGAGTTTAACTGCATTCCTTAAAATAAATTGAAATGTGTAAATAAATAAGTTTACATTTATAATGTATAATGTATAAAATACAATCAGATGTTAATATGTTGGTTAAAAAATAAATCATAGTTAGAACTACAATCTTTAACAATAATCTAACATAACAAATTTATTTTAGTTAATAATGTCATAAACCATGAAACAACTTTACTGTCTTAATATTGTATTTGACAATACCTAATATAATAAAATATATGCATCGCATAGTATTAATTAAATACCTGCGAAGTCTTAAGGCCCTAGTTGTCTGAGTTAGGGCAGCAAATATCCAACAGACAATTCCAGAATCTAAAGCAGCTAATGGCAATTCAACTAATAAAATCTCTGCACTCATATTACTTGATAATCGAAAATAGGATTCCATTAATGACATTGCTAGATATAAAGAACTGACTCCTAAAACCTTTGGTAAAAGTGGACCTAATCTGGGCCTAAATAATAACATATTTTTATAAATTTAAAAATTACTATAATAAATCATTATTTTACCAAATACTTACTTGACAATACCAAACCCTAAGCTTACTATGATAACCAAAGTCCGAGCAAGTGTTCTTTTTAAACAAGAAATCACTTCAGCCATGGTCATTACTCCATAAATATTATCTAAATGTCCAGTAAGGTTCAATTCATGATATTCAGCATAAAAGGCAGCTTTTTCAACCATTCCTGAAGTGTAATAGTTGGTAAATTTCTGTTTATTTTGGATAGATAATTATTGTAATTATTTACCTAGAAGAATGACAGCTCCAATCCAAAATTGTATTTGAAGCAAATCTCTCCATTGCATAAATAATAAAACCAACCACGTTATACCAAAAAATATGTAAACGAAACACATGAAGCCGTAAAACTAAAAGAATGTTAGATTTGAATAAAATTTTATACAAATACATAGTACATTAAGCAATGTATTTTGTTAAAATTAATTACATGTAACAATGGCCAATTTGTAGCTGATAAATAGCCATGTGGTCCTTTCATCGAAATTTCTATATTGGCAGTAAATTTGTCATCACTTTGAACATATCTGTTGTCTTGTTTAACTGTTGCTGTTAGTAAGTACACTCCATCTGTTAAAACTGTATACACTCGATGATTGGATCTCTATTTGAGAAATAAAACAAAATGTTTCTTTACAGTAAAAAAAAAATAGATATTATCTAAATCTCTTAAATAGTTAGGCAAATTATACTTATTTCAAAATAAAATCATATTACCAGTGTTTTAAATATATAATATTCATAGTTATATCATAATAAATTATTACATGAAACAAGTATAGTTCAAAACTACACATTATCAAGAACAAAATGCCTATAGTTTTTATATAGAAGTGAATTTACAGAATCTGAATATTGAAATACAAATATGTATTATCTTATTTTAAATTGATAATGAGTAGAGCCCGGATTTATATGCATTTAAAAAGTGTCAAATATGATTCAAATATGCAAAGAAAAAGTGGCTCAATATGCAATTATATGCCATATGTTAAACATAATAAAATGTGATTTTTTTTAAAAAAAAAATAGATTTTTACACAAAGGAAAGTAGGTGCCTTTTAGATATTCTATCAGAAATAAAATAATATTTAAATAGGTAGTTAAACATTTAATACTTTAAAAACCAAAATGCAATATTTTATAATCTTCATTTTTTCATATTTAAATTGTTTAAAATACAATGTCTAAGACTCTCAGAAAACTTAAAAAAAAGAATCAAAATAAAATCATCTGTAAATATTAATCGTTATAAAAAAAATTTGTAAAATTAAGTAACTGCCTTATTCGTTGCGCACGTCGAAGTGACAACATAGCATGCCAAATTGCAGATATATGTGATTTATTGTTGTTAATATAATATTATCTATACATGCTCCGATCTCATGAAGTGTTGCAAAAATGACAATATTTTAAGGATATTCTTGTATGAGACCCTGTCAACGATTTTTTTCTTTTAAAATCACTAAAATATATTTATCTTAAATTAAAATAGGTAATTTATTAAAAACCCATTAAATATGCATTTCTGAACCAATATGCAATATAAAATTTGGTGTTTAGGTAAGAAGAACCGTGGACATTTTAGAACCCACTAGACGTGCATACACTTAGTACAAATATGCAAATGCATATAAATCCGAGCTCTAATGATGAGTTTAATAATTTAGTTCACATAAAAATTGTGAATATTTTTAATATATATATTTTAAATGACTTATAGTATAATATTTTTTATTTCATAGCTTATGCTATATCTATAGAACTATAACTTTAAGCTGATAAAAATCACTTACTTTTTGTAGTGCTTTATTATTAGTTTTATTAGTTTCATATAACGATAAATCATCCTACAGTAAAAAAAAAATAGCACAAATTATTTACTGAAATATAATTTTTATAACAAGTATAAATACCAAATCTACTCCACTGGCACAAGAGTATATTTTTTCTCCAGAATTCACGTGGTTCATGTATGTATTATTGGTACTAACGTCGTTATTAATATCTTCTATTTGGAGTTGTTTTATGAGCTAAAAAAAATTATTTCCAAATATAGATAATAAGTTATTACTAATAACCAATGATGATACTAAATAAAAAAAGAGAACTCACTCCGGGGCCAAGGTTCAAGTAATCATTCCAACACTGAGGTTCTGTCAGGATCCAACTGACAGAGACATTGTACACATCGCTACAACTGACTATAATACAAATCAAAATTAGAAAATTCGTTTTTTTTTTTGTGCATTATACAACCAGTGGCGCCGAAGTTTTTAAAATGTGGTCGGGCAATTTTAAAACTACCCGGCCTCAATATCTTAATTATTTAATATAGAGGTATCCTAATATAAATTTATTCATAATCACGGTTTAAATTTACTCATGCTTATAATAAAGTTATGATGTAAATTAAATATGGCCAGCCGGCCACATTTTTCAAAAAAGAGATCGGGCCCCGGCCCGACATCAGCATGGACTTCGGCGCCACTGCATACAACAGTAACATCCTGAATAAATTTACTTTTAATTGATATTTCAGTGCCTTTGAATAGGCTGCCAACACAATATTGTACATAATTGTCCTGAAAAAATTAAAATTAAATTAAATATATCGTCAAACTTTATGAATTGCCGATTACGTTGGCATAGTAAACAAATCACATTGTCCATAATGGAGGACCATGATCCTTCCCCAGGTCTCACAGCGTGACACGTAAACGCTAAGAAAGTACAATACAAAAAATGGATCGGGACATTTGACAACATTGAAAGAATGTCAAACAAAATGTCGTAATAGCAATTCGTATTAATTGAAATAAAATAAAATAAATTGTTCACTAAGTTCGTCGTTCAAAAGCAATGAATTCGCGTTCAATATTCTAAAATGTTTTAAAATGTAATAATGTAAATAAATGTGTACCTTATCACTGTCGAGTGTTGATACTTATTCAGTGATAACGATGTTATATCTTAATGACATATTAGCCAATAAAGGTTCAGGACATTTCCCACCATATATTTGAAAAAAATCTCAAAATTAATAATATCGATTGAAATTTGAAATTATTAAAACTCGGATAATGATCTTACCTTTGAGTTCGAT